ACCAGTAGAACCTAATCTTAAACTGGGAGAAGCTAAAGAAGATCCAAATGTAGATAAAGGGGCCTACCTGAGACTTGTAGGGAAGTTGATCTACCCTCCCACACTAGACCAGACATAGCATTTGTTGTAAGTATGGTCAGTCAGTTTATGCAGAATCCAAAGCAGATTCACATGCAAGCGGTAGACAGGATATTGCACTACCTTAAAGGAAGACCAGGAAAAGGAATTCTCTTTAAGAGAGATTGTGGAATGACCCTAGAAGTATACACGGATGCTGACTACGCATGATCACCGGTTGATAGAAGATCTACCTCTGGGTATTGCACATTTCTTGGAGGTAACCTAGTTACATGGAGAAGCAAGAAACAGAATGTGGTGGCAAGATCTAGTGCAGAAGCAGAATATCGAGCTATAGCCTTGGGAATATGTGAGCTACTGTGGATCAAAATAATCCTAGAAGATCTGAAGGTTAAGTGGGATGAGCCCATAAAGCTACATTGTGACAACAAATCAGCAATCAGCATAGCCCACAATCCAGTCCAGCATGACAGGACCAAGCACATAGAAGTGGACCAACATTTCATTAAAGAAAAACTAGACAGTGGTCTAGTAAGTGTTGACCATGTATCATCAAAGGATCAACTTGCAGATTTCCTTACTAAAGGATTGGACAGTTCTGTCTTTCTCCGTATGATTGACAAGCTGGGCAATTTATTTCTTCCTAATTAGGATATCCTGTATAAATATATAAATAGGGAAGATTGTAATGAATAAAGACAAGTTTTTCCCTCTCAAATTCTCAGTTTTAACAGTTTTCATCAATTACCTTGACATTATTTAGTCACAGAGGCATCCATGGTAGAACATATAGTTCCATCAAATATAAATATGAATAAAATCATCAAAATCACTTTTATCGAGGTTATAATTATGCTAGAAAACATTGAACATATTTATGGGCCACAATCTATCCTTTGCATTAAGTGACATCTTGTCAATTGACCACTTGATCAAAACTCTTCGACCTACTTTTTTGGCTCATTCCAAGGACTCTGCCATCACCATACAATGATCCAAAGAACAATTGACACATTGCTCGGTATCAATAAAAGCATCAAACAACTATAATCAGCTTTGCCTTCATATCATTTTCCAATCATTCACGAGAAATTAGCAAGGGCTAAATAAAGATGAATCCCTTATACTAGCAACTTATACACTAGAGGATGACATGTATCTAAAAACAACCTAACTACCAAAGGTGCTCTTTGATTACATCTAACAAACACCATATGAAGTAACAATAGGTATCTAAGGGGTTCGTTTACAAATACAACCAAAGAATAGAGTAAAAAAGGCCACTTCTCCATAACATAGCCTCAGCAAAAAGAAAAAAAATAATCAAGAATATATTGGGATCCTCTTCTCTCTCTCCTCCTCTACTACCCAACCAACTAAAAGTAGGTCAGATAGCCAATCCGACTACTTATGATGATTCTAAATATCCGCAACAGCAAAATCCATTTAATGATGGTGATGTTGATGAGGACATTGCTGATTCCCCACAATAGAAAAATAACTACAAGCTCTAGTTTAAATAATGGCCTTACTCAAAGTAGGCCCTGTAGCCAATTTGGCTGCTTGTGATGATTTTAAAAGACTACAATAAAAAAATTCATTTAATGTTGATCATGTTGATGGGGATATTGTGAATTACCCACTCTAGAAAAACCACCACAAGCTCTAGTTTAACAAATGGCCTAACCTACAATAGCTAATATTCCCTTCTTCAATATGTACATCCCACTCATATAACATTATCGAGATCTCTAAGATCATCTTGCAAAGGAGTTATTAAGGATATAACGGAATAATGAGCACCCTCTTTATGGCAATCTAAAAGAAGAATTTCAATTTAGAATTTAGATTGACTACTGCACCATTCTTTCTAGTGGTTTTCCTATGCTATAGTTGGGACACAATTGTAAGCTCTAAATTTATAGTCACATCGTTATTCTACTTTGCTTTCGTTTAACTAATTATGATATGGTTGTCTGAGGATCATTAGTATTCTTATGGTATTTAACTATTTGCTTACTTGACACTATTATTATAAATAGATGTCATAGGGTTGAACTAACAAGTCAATGAAAAATAATTGTTGTGTTCCTCTCCCTCTCACTAACAATAGAGTCATAGACTAGTGTTCTTCTTCTTTCTACTTATTCCTGCACTGCCATCCAGTTTTCCATGCTTTGTTCCCATCCTCTGTAAACCAATGCGTTCCTCGAGTCCTCTTCTACACATCTTTCAGCCTTTCCTCTTCCAGTTTAATGCCTACAGTAAATAAAAGGAAATATTTCTGCTCCTTTTCTCCTTCCATTCCACCATCTATAGCATTAATAAGCAGAGAACAGCATCCAATGTCACAATCTACAGAAGAAATCTCAATTATTTGTGCTGTTGAAGCAATGTAAGCCCAGTCATACTGAATTTCTTTTGCTTCTGTAGGCATTAAACTACAATTTAAGAGGTAAAAGGACGTTTCAATCTGAAGCTAACTGGTATCCTAAAAACCTAAGCCTACATTTTCCATCTTTACGTTTCATACAAGTTCATTTGTTCAGCATAACAAAGAAAATAGATGGTTTATGTCTAAAGTGAAGATTCTTAATGATCAGCAACTCCTACTTTATCTCTGAATGCAACGAAACACAAGAAATTAAACAGGAAGTCAGATGAAATAAGTCAGATCTGGCAACAACCATGCAAAATATTTCCATCAAATTCGTAGATAAACAGAATACCTTGTAGAATTTTAAATCGATGGGCAGGCTTTCAGATGCGAGAATAGTAGAAAGGGCCTTATCAATGGCATCAGACTTTATCAAAGCAACGATCTTGCACCGAATAGCGTCCTCGTCTCCAGGGGCAACCGAAAGAACTGCAAGAAGCAAGGTAGTCAATCGAAAAGAAAAAGCATAAAGGAGAATCTGGAACGATAAAGAAAGAGAGAGAGGGAGACCTTGATCTGCGACCTGGACGACCTGATCATACTGGGAATTCTCGGAATGGCGATGGAGGGCGGAGAAAAGGTCCTCCAGCGGTGGCGTCTGAGGTTTGGCGGCTGGCGGCGAGGGCTTTGGCTTCGCCTTGGGTGCCATGGACTCTTGCTGGGCCTGGGATGACCGAATGCGCAGGAAGCAAAAAAAATTGGAATAGAAATGAGAGCATACAAAAAAGGATGAGAAATCCGACTGCCAAACGACTGGATCACCAAGCTATCTACCGGCAACTGTGAGGAGGAGACTACCGACTGTCAAACGACTGGAAAACTGCTGTCCCTCTACCCGCCGAGTCGCCTCTCGCATGAAGAACGGAAGACGACGAAGGGGGTGTTTGGTATCGGATTTATTTCCCGTTTTAAGTAGGATTTACCGTAAATCCAGCCAAACTCAAAAAATGGCGCTGTAAATCCGGCAAATCCGTAAATCCAGGATTTGCGGATTTACGCCTTAAATCTGGTAAATCCCTGTAAATCCAAATCCCGCTAGAACTCGGATTTACGGAATTTGGCCGAAGAAGCGCGCGAAAGGGAGAAAGTTACCTTCACAGCGAGCGAGCGAGCTCCCGTCGTTGCTTCAGATCAAAATGTTGTAACGTCCGATCCGACAGGAAGGGAACGTCGAAGGAGCGAAGTCGAACAGCAACGAAGGAGCCGAAGAAGCGATTAGATTGCACCTCCTTCGAAGCAACGAAGCCGCAGGACGACAAGGAGCAACAAAAGCAAACGACGCCTCAGCCATTACTGGTTAACTTAATTAATATAATTTAAAATATTAATAGCTAAGTAAATTAATTAAATAATTAATAGTATAATTAGTGTATAAAGTAATGATCTAATTTAACTTAATTAAATTGTTAGTAATATAATTAGTATTTAAAATTAGTATAATTATCTTAATTAATATAATTTAAAATATATATTATTAAATAAATAAACAATAATATAAATAATAATTAAATAATTAATGAGCAGTAAAATTCTTAAGTGATTAATGAGATAATAAATAATAAAATTAATAATTAAAAATAATAAAATAGTAATTAAATTATTAATTAAATATTTAGTATGATTATTAGTTAAATAATTAGTTATTTAAAAATAATTAGTAGGATTAAATATAATAATTATTATATAATATGTGATAAAGAACAAATAAATTTATAACTTGATGCGTAAGCAAATTAAGTGGCTTCATATTATTCCTTCAATTTTAAATCTCCAACTATTTTCAATCCTGTAATCTGTTGCCAAACAACTTTTATGGATTAACAAGATTTAAAAGTTGTCATACCAAACACAATTTAGGATTTACTAAATTTGGATTTACAGGATTTAGAAAATCCTACTAAAATTAAACTCAATCTGATACCAAACACCCTCGAAGAGAAGTCTAGTTAGGTCACGAACGGGAACGGCGCCCCAACGCTTCTCACGACCCAGGAAAAAAAGGGCTTTTACATACATACCACTTTATTCCTTGTATTTTACATATTTAACACCTAAAACTTAAATGTTACACTACTACAACTCAAACATAAACTTAACCTCATAACTGCCACTCCGTCTCTTTCGTTATTTCTGCATGAGCTTTTCCGCAGGAGATATCTTTCAGCAAGCCCTAGAACCTCTTCACAACTTCGTCTGAATTCGATCGTGAGCTTTTCCGCACGTGAGCTTTTTCGCAGAAGCTTTCTCTCGAGCCGCAGATCTTCCTTGCCGCTCTTCTTACGAAATCGTTTGGATCTGGTCCGATCGCTAGCTGCAGATACTCTTGCTCTGATCGCGAGCTGCAGGTCCGATCACCAAATCGTTGTTGAGCTGCAAATCATATGAAATGTAAATCGATCTTTGTATTATAAAAGAGGGGATGACGTGAAATACCCCAGGCGAATTATGAAATGGATTTTGTATTATTGTTTGAGCTTTCTTACAAACTGAAGAATTCATCTATATATAACTTGTGATTTATCTCTTCCTGTCTATCGTTTACTGCCACATAAATCTAACTGTGACAGAAAACATTTGTATGTAATCAAAAATTCTATTTGTTTTGTTACAGAATGTAAATCATATTAACTGTCTAAGTTCTATTTGCTTTGTTACATAATGTAAATGTTTGCAAGAAAACATTGGTTGATTCTAAGTTCTATGCTTTTGTATTCATCAATTCTATATGTTTTGTTACAGAAAACGTTGGTTGATTCCAAAACGTTTTAGATGAGTTCTACGAATTCGTCTGCTACGAGAGACAGGCGCCCATGATCTGAAGTTTATTGTCAGTCACCTGAATTGTGTAATATACACTTGCCACTGTGGACCTAATAATGTATGAAAATTTTATAGGAGCATGAATAATCGAATTGATGACGACTGCAGATATTTTAGATGGATAGATGAAGTAGAAGATGCATCTTATGGTACAGACGATGAATGCAAAGGCTTTGAGGCAAAGGTTATTAAGAGTCTTGACTGGATCATGTACTTGATAAAAGTCTTTGTTGTAATTGTTCGTGTTGATGTAACCATCCATTTGTGTTTGTAGCGTGTTGTGTCGAAATGGGTTGAATGCTAAGTTGTATTATAGAGATCAACATGTTTTTTTTGTTATGTTTAGTTTTGCAACCTTGAATTGATGTGTTGATCAAGTCTATTGTACGTTGTTTGGTTTTGGTTATCCAAATTAATGAAAAAATTTATGCTCGTGAACATATTCATGTAATTCCTACGCTACATAAATGATGACAATAATGTTTCATTCATGCAATTATATGTTGTTGCAGCAGATCCCGATATTCCTAAACTTTGTCAATAGAAATACTCTCTGTTCTAGGATAAACCATTTTATTATGTCTATTTGTTAACTTTAAAAGAACATTAAAATTAATGAATGTGCCGCAAGCTCAGCCAATTCCTGTGTACCGATTTACTAACCATCTTTTAAAGCACTATGAGAATTCGTTGTAAACATCCTTGCTGCATATTAATAGAAATTTGATCAATTTTCTTGCAATGTAGAACACCTATTAATCCCTGCTATGTGCGACCGAGAAGTATTGAAATTTTTTGTTCCAATTGCTTCTCGATACATAATTTGCCAGTTCGCTTATAATATAAAATTTTGGCAGTAATATAATTTTGAACTCTATAAACAACTTCAAACAGATAAATTGATTTCATTTTCAAACAAAAAAAGAGTTAAAATAAAGTTGTTAAAACATGGATAAAGCATGTTTCATAACCAAAATAGAAAGAGATGTTAGCCAAAAAAATTAAAACAGCTTTCTGCTATCATTCTTAAAGAATAGTCAATACTATCATTCCTAAAAACCAGTCACATATGAGAACTCAAAATCTTCTTGATGATCCTCTCCATTCCGTCTGCTTAGCAATTCTGTCCGACTTCTTTGTCCAACTGCTGTCCGCAGATTGTCCTCGTAATTATTATTTTGCAATGAGTTTTTGCAAGTGCTCCTATGATGCCTCCATAGACCACATCTGCCACACCTATGAGACCTCTTATTTTGCTCCAAGAAATTTAACAATCTTTTTTTCCTAGGTCTTCCTCTTGGTTTACAAGTATTCGGTACACCAACATGCTCAGTACTCTCTGTAACGGGCCAATGATCCTTTCTAGGAAATGTGGAAATTGCTCCATCATACGCTAGTATGTACCTATACCATATGCAACACAAAGTAGATAAATTAGTTGTTGTTATATGCAAATAATTGTTCATATGCAGATATGTTACCTGTGAACGTGGTAGTAATCATCAACATACGTATACCATAGAAGGTGTTCTTTCATTCCAATGAAAGCCACTGCATGAACGCAAGGCAAACCAGTTAACTGCCACACTATACAGTTGCATATTCTTTGTTCAATATCAACGATATGTCTCGAATGAAGTCCCTCCACCTCAACCTTGAAAAGGCTAGATTGCCGAACAACAAAATGGTCTTTCCGCGTTGTGATATTTCTAATATATTCCTCCACATTTGGGACTAACTCATGTTGCCAACTCAAGCTACTCATCTTCCGTTGAGCTCTTTGCACCATAAGCTTTCCCCATATCAAATTGATGAGGTCCACAGCAGGTTTAGTTCTAGCATCATTAACCCATGAGTTAAATGACTCGACAAAATTGTTTGTATAAGCAGCATGACATATCCCAATCATGAATGGACTCCTTGACCACTTACATGGTAATGAAATAAGATACAAGTACACTGCTTGGCTCAACTGACATAGTTCTACTAGCTTCTCATTGAACTCTGTATTTGTGTAAGCATTAGCGGCCTCCCAAACAAGTCCATAAACTTTTTGGCCATCTTTACAGTGGCAAATTTTTTTATATTCTTCCACAAATGGCAAATACAAATTCTATGCCAGCTTCAGGATATACATCTTTTATTGCCTCTCCCAAACCCTTCTCCATATCTGATATAAAACACAGATGACTTAAGGAAATACCAATTGTTTCTCCCAAATTTTGGAGAAACCATGACCATGTTTGTTTGGACTCAGTCTCCACAACAACGTACGCTAAATTGAATAAGCCATTATTTTCGTCTAGGGAGTTGGTCAATAACAGCAAATCTAGGTACTTCGATTTAAGATGGCATGCATCCAAACTGACTAGTGGTATGCACCCAGCAAGAAATCCACTAGCACATACCTTAAAACAAACATAAAACCTCTGGAATGAATGATCTTCACTATTAAATGCATATGTTATATGTGATCATGGATTTCTATGAAGGAGTTCAGCTGCCAATGTTGGAACTCATTTGTAGTTGTCATCAACTAAACCAAATAAAGCATCACTGGCTTCCTCTCTTGCCCTCCAAAGCTTCATATAAGGTAAGGATAAACCAAACACTTTCTCTAGACTACTATTTATTTCTTTTGGTGGAATATCTGGGTACCTCTTCACCATCTCCTGAATCTCATTGGCAACCCAAGCAGATGTTTCTAGCCTATTCCCAGCACGATTTATCCCAGGGAACGTGTGTACTCCATCTAGTCTCCTAAGTTGGAAAGATTTAGTGTCTTCACATAAGGAGGCCCGAACTCTCCATTCACAACCTTGATAGGACAAGTCGCAATCACACATTTCTTATCGCTGGCTTTTATCCGCACCCCAAAGTTCTCCTTTATGGCAACTGATCAGAGAGCATTCTTGAAACTTTTTGCATCATTGAAGAAGGTGCCAATACCTATATCTATAGCACTTGTAGTCTGAACACCTGAAATACAACCATTATGGATCACAGAACATTCTGCCATATATTCAACACCGACAACCCTCATGAGGTTTGTGTTTGATTGTTCTCTATCTACTTCTTGTACTGAGATAACCAACTCGGCACGAAAATTTCCACTTGAAAGTTTAACTATCTCTACCACGTCTACGTTAGTATTTATAATTTTGTATTCCTTCGGCGATGTTATGTGAATGTGATAATGCATACTCTATTTATACCCTTTAAGCCATGGACATATTTTAAAA